GCAAGAGTTGCCAAAGTCCTAACAGCTTCAGCATTGCTGAAAAGTCCACGTCTCCTCCAAGAAGTAAGGCAAACTCTTAGCTGTGAGGCCCTGTACAAATGAAAATTTAAACACTTCCAACATTCAGTGACACAAAATAAACATTACCATTCCAAAAGGTACAAATGAGGATACAAAGCATTGGTACCAAAGCAAGTCCAACATCCAACAGCACAAACATTAAGTCCTATAGTTCCATGTCCAGCATCTGAAGCAATCTGGCACATTGTGAGGTCCAAAGGGCTTGTGTGACTCCACCCCTATGGCACTTCTGGTAGTTACAGCTCCCATGGCTTCTCTCTTACACCTGCTTTGCTCCCTGCTTGCAGCTTTCCTCAGACAATCCACATTCCTGGCCTTTCCAAACTTCTGGGGTCTCCACTGCACTTTTCACTTCACACTCACAGCTTCACACACTGGTCTGTCAGAGGCACACTGTCTGGCCTCCCAGGCCTTCTGAAGTCTAGGTGGAAGCCTTCTTAACCTCAGAACTCTTGCATCCTGTGTGCACCTAAAACCAGTGCCACGTGGATGATGCCAAGGTCTGCTGCCACATAGAGCAGTAGCCAGGCTTTCTTCTCTCTTGACTGTAAGGGTCAGGTGCTTGGATTGCTGAGCACTGTGAACCTGATTCTGAGGAACAGATTCTCGATGCCACTGCCATTCTGGCACATGGTGTAGCCACTGCCATTCTGGAACGTGGTACCCTGTGGCTTTCGCCTCAAAATAAAGTCTTTTGCTTTTATAGGTTTGAGGCTGCAGAGGGTGGAGACTTGTAGCTTCTTGTGATGCCTTCAGGCCATCTTTTATATTGTCCTGTTCCTTTTCATCAGTCAAGATCTCAGCTCTATCCTCTCAGCCCATAGCTTTACTGGAGCTTCCTCTCTGGACAAACTCACAACATTTTAAATCATTCTGCTGGGCTCTTTGCTGTTGATTCTCAACATAAATCTGGCTAAAACCCCTCAACAATAGCCATGCCACAGCCTTAACATTCAACTGCCTTCAGATTTCTTCTGCCAGATTAATTAGTCCACCGCCCTTAATCTCATTCTCAGGCAAATCTCTGGACCCGAGCAGAGTACAGACAAACTTTTTGCCAAGCCATAACACATCATCTCGAGTTTAGTACCCAGTTTGGTCCTTCTTCCCAGCAGAAGCCTCCAGAGCCCAGTCTTTATCAGCAGGATTTCTGTCAGCCTTCTGGTCTTCTGATCTCTGACCAGAATCTCCCATACAGAACAGCCTAAGGTGGTCTAGCTCTACTCTTTCAGGCGACATCTCCAAACTTTTCCAAACACTTCCCACAAGCCATTTCGAAGGATCTTGAACCACATGGTCAGGTATAGTCACAGCAACAACCCCACTCCTGGTACCAAATTCTGTGTTGGTCACTTTTCTCTCATTTTTGAGACAAAATACCCAACACCCAAAATTAAGGAAGGAAAGGTTTACTTACCTTACAGTTTGTGGAGGTTTCAGTCTACAATCAGCTGGCTCCAAGGCAGAGTGGCAGGGCACAGGGGCATTACTTGAAGGCAGCACAAGACCACAGAAGCAGCGAGAGCAAAAAGGGGAGGGCAGTAAGCCTCTTTTCTCACATATTGTGTGAGGGCTGTCTGCCCATGCCCATACCATCTCCGTGTCCTCCTCTTGCACAGGCTTAGGCTGTAGAACTGCTGAGTCACTTAGCCAAGCCTCCAGACTCCTCCAGTTGACACAGTGTACCAACCATAACAGATACCCTCACTTTTTAGATAAGAAAATAAAGCCAGCAAGGAATCGACCAGGCCATATGGCCAACATGGCATTCAACAGTCAATATTTGAATGCAAAGCTTTTTGGGTTGAGTTGGGAACTGGGACAATGTGGGCAACTTTTTTTTTTTTTTTTAAGACAGGATCTCGGGCTGGGGATATAGCTCAGTGGCACAAGTGCCTGCCTGGCAAGCACAAGGTCCTAAGTTTGATTCCCGGTACCAAAAAAGAAAAAAAAGAAGACAGGGTCTCACTGTGTAGTCCAGGCTGTCTTTCAACTACTCTGTGGCTTTGAATTCATAATCTTCCTACCTCAGCCTCTTGAGTACTACAGTTACAGGCCTACACCACACACCTAACTTGAGTAATATTTTTTTTAATGTGCTATTACTGTTTTGTCAGATTTCAAAAGATACACGCATATATATTTCATATATATATATAAAATCTCCGATACTTTTTTAAAAAATGGTTTCCCTAAGTTGCTTAGTTGCCAAAGCTGGACTCTTGTGATCCTCCTGTACTGGGATTATAGGCATGTGTCACCACACTCAGCTAAATAATTCTTTTTTGTTGTAAACTAGGTTGATTTTATTTTCTCAACAGTTTCTCATGTATCAGCTACTACAAAAGCAAAATCCAATTTTTTGTCAGAGATTTTTTTTTTGTCAGAGATTTCATAGATGTCATTTTATGTTTGTCTTATTTGAATCTGGTTCTAGCAAGATCCACACATTGCAAGTGGTTAAGATGTCTCATGTCTTAGCCTTTAACTCTGACCCCTACTGATGGAGAACTTGCGTTACTCAACCTGTAGTTGGAGTTAGCTAATTATATCCTCTGGAATTAATGTATCCATCCTTATTTTCTGTAAATCAGTAATTTTTGTAGCTTGATTAGAGTCTTTGTTTTCAGGCAAAAATGCCTCATTTATGATGCTATTCATTTCCCATTGAATCAGGTCAGGAGGCTGTTGTTAAAATTGATTGGTGAGCTGGATTTTATGGTAGTCCTTTCCTCATCTTTTACATAGTTAATAATTTCAGAAGATAAACTATTTTGGATAGCTGGATGTGGTAGTGCACGCCTGTATTCCCAGCACTCAGGAGGCTAAGGCAGGAGGATTGTTGCCAGTTTGAGACCAGCCTGGGATACTTAGTGAGTTCAAGGCCAGCCTGAACTGTATAGTGAGACTCTGTCTCAAAAAAAAATACATACATGCATATGAATGATAAGGAGACACTAGCTGTAGGGGTACAGTAAAGTAGCAGAGTGCTTGCATAGCATGTATAAGGCCCTAAATTCAATCCCCAGCACCATATATGGGAGTGGGCAGGATGCATGTGGGTCAGGTACTTAGGATTCTTCACCTGGAGCATCTAGAAAAGCAAATTTATCCTTAGGTGAAGAGAGCTGATGGAGAAAAGGAGGAAGCTCCTGATCAGAGAGAAGGTCTTGGAGCTGAGGCACCAAGGCACTGGTTCTGTCAGCAGCCACATGCCCTTCTGGGACATTACGTAAAATGATGTAACTGAGTGAAAAAGTGGCGGTGAGTTGGCTCTTCTCCCTGCTGAAGTCTCTGAGCTGCTACCTTAGAGTTTTTCATGAGCCCAGAGCTGTGACTCTTTTCTGTGAAGACTCAGTGGAGGCTTCTTGGTCTGAGAAAACTGCAGCATATTTGATCTTTATCTCTTTGTACTTTGAAAGCTGAAATCAAGGTGGTCTTCTGGTGCTCCAGTGGTGAGTCCTACACTTATGGAGAGGCTGCTTGTTTTGGAGGCAGAGGGTGAGATGAGTTGGAGTGACCCAGTTATAAGTGCTAGAAAGTGGCAGCTTGGGGGCACCATATAGTCCAATGCCTGTTTTTGGTTTTTTGGTTTTTCGGTTTTATTTTTCTAGTACCGGGAATCAAACTCACAACCTTGTGCTTGCCAGGCAGGCGCTGTGCCGCTGAGCTAAATCCCCAGCCCCCAATGCCTATTTTTACAGGTGAGAGAAATAAGGCCTGCAGAGGCTGCTACTTGCAAGTTGGAGGCTTGGGCAAGGCCAGCAGTAAGACTCCAGTTCTCTAACTGTGGTAGCCAGTCAGCACTTTCTACTTGAAATTTCTGAGATGAGGGTGGCCAGATCAGCCTCCTGACGGATTCTTAATGTTCACTCAAGGTTTGTGGGTATCCCTTTGTGCTGGTCATGTCCTCGTTGTTGTACACCCAGCTGGGTTCTTTGACTTGGAAGTATTAGTCAACAGTGTTTTGTTCTGACAGGGCATGGTGGTGTACACCTGTAATGCCAACATTGTAGCAGGCTAAGGCAGAAAGATCACAAGTTGGAGCCCAGAGCAGGCAACTTAAAATTTTAGTTGAGAAATTAAAATGTAGTTCAGAGCTCAAAGGCTTTGGTCACCAGTGTGGTCTATGGTAGTACAGTGGTTTAAATACAAACGGGGTATCATGAGTCCCAGTCTCAGTTCCATGCTAGTCAGGGTAACTCAGGCTACAGTTTGCTGGAAAGGTATGAACCAGATCAATATTGCCCAGAGCATAGCATGAGTGTGCCAGATGACTTGATACACAGATAAATAACATTTTCCTCTTTACATTTATACCTATCTTTACAATAAATAATACTGGTTTTTCATTTACAGCAGTGGCATAGCTTTCTCTTTTAGTGTATTGAGGCTAAAATGATGATAAATTCAGACAAGATGGGTAGTATTCCAGCACGGCAGAAGGAGGAGTGAAAAAGATTGTAATGCAGAAAATCACCATCTGTGTCTTCCTGTCCTCCTAACCTTTCGTAGTTATATTCTGAAATATGTCAATCACAAGCTTGAGTAGATTTCCCTGTCTTGGCCAATTTAGAGGCTGTCCAAAGTTAGAGAGCATCCTGAAAGTTCAATTTAATTGAGCACGTATTTAACATCTTGTTGGGTATCACAGAATAAAGATAATGATAGCTCCCATGGAGAACCATCTGGAGGCTGGTTAGGATTTGCAGTTTATTTGTGAAGTATATTCTGGGTCACATTCATTCCAGTTTCACAGGTCCCACCCCACAACTGTTGTTCTCAGTATCCCTCTGGAAAGTCTGCTCAGTAATTTGGTCATTATCAGCTTCTGTTACTGAGAGAGGATGGGGATGTTGGCATGAAAGCCAAGGGAAGTGACCACAGAAGTGGGCAATTGAGGGCTTTCTGCCTTTCAGGATTTTCCTGGAGAGAATCTTCATTCAGAGATTTGCTGATAGCCAAGGATGGCAAGCCAGGGGCCTTCGGCCTCTGCATCCCCCGAGAACTCCAGTGCAGGGGGACCCAGTGGGAGCAGCAATGGCAGTGGTGAGAGCGGAGGCCAGGACAGCACCTTCGAGTGCAACATATGCCTGGATACAGCCAAGGACGCCGTCATCAGCCTGTGTGGCCACCTCTTCTGGTCAGTATCCCTGCTGCCATCCCAGAGTTCATGCCACAAAGTTTGGAAAGCCCATCGCCCTGGGCAGCTTAAGAATAGAAGGCCTCTCACCCCCTTCGGGTCCTGATATACTTAGGCCAAAGGGGCAGAAGACCTAGGTTCCCACCCCAACTGTGCCACTAAGCTGGGTGACCTTGGGCAAATACTGTCTCCACACTGGACTGCTTCTCCCCAGTTCTTCAGTGATAATACCACTTAGTGATAGTAATACCTGCCACATGATGTGCTGAACCTAGAAGCAGTGGCAGTATAGCGTAGTGGTTATACCAGTGACTTGTGAAACCATATTTCCTCCCCACAATTCTTGACTCTGCCACTTCCCTATTAGCTGACCTTGGACAAGGTGCTTATTCACACTGCCTCATTTTACTGGGTTGTTTGTGAGTAATGAATGACCCAAAATATATAAAAGGCTTAGAAGAGTACATAACATGCAGCATGTACTATGTGTTAGCTAACCATAGTTATCACTATTTTATGTGTATGTGTGTATATCAAAATGAAGGGGCAGGATCTTTGTCCATTTCAGCCCTAATGACTACAGAAGCCCCTGTTGGCTCTGAGAATCTGGGAGAATGTTGAGTTTTGCTTTTTTTCTCTTGAAATTTTTGGACTGAATCTTGAAAAAGGAACGGAACCTTGATTGAAATTAGAGTATATGAATGGCAGGTAAGACAAAGGGTCCATTCCATCCTAAGGCAGGCAATTTCTAGGGACAGGCATGTGCACTTTTGGGTTCCTCTGAGACCCTGAGGCTACTGTATACCTCTTAAGCCCCTTAGATAGGAGGCTGGACATGTTAGGAAAGAAGAATAGTTGTAGAGGGCTGGACCAGATTATCAAAACCTGATTTGACTGAGAGGACATAGAGCTAATGAATATTTTTGAGTAGGAAAACAGTATGAAATGAGAATCATTTAAGCAATATTTAGAGGAGTTTAAGTTCACACCAGTATAAAAGATAAACTTATTGGTAATTAACGGAATTGTGCAGAGATTTTGTTGTCCTCAGAGTCCTTCCCTAATCTTCTTTGTGAAACTGTTGTAATCAGCTGTATCAAATTGGAAATACTTAAGAATATCATAGAACCAAATGTTTTTCTTTTTTTTTTGCCGTGGGGGTGGGTGACCGGGAATTGAACTCAGGACCTTACGCTTGCCAGGCAGGCAGGCACTCTACCACTAAGCTATATCCCCAGCCCATAAAACCAAGTCTTAATGTGTGACAGAATTAAGAATTAAGAAGCTGGGGCTGGGGGTTTAGCTCAGTGGCAAAGCACCTGCCTGGCAAGTGCAAGGTCGTGAGTTCGGTTCCCGGTACTGGAGAAAAACCAAAAAAAAAAAAAAAAAAAAGAATTAAGAAGCAGAGAACCATGGGAAGGAACATGGATTTTAAAATGATACAGCTGCTTCCAGACTAGGTGGTGTGTCTTTAGGCAAATCTGCTAGCTTCTCTATACAGTACTTTAGTTCCTCATCTGTAAAGTGGAGATAATTAAACCCCTTGGTAGGTTAATACAACCATCCAATGACATTAATAAATGAAAAGGTATTCAGCCACATCCTGTCACACAGTAGGTGCTTAATAAATGGGAGGAATCCCCATCATTGTTCTAATCCTAAGCATTCCTCTGAGGGTCATTCATTCACTTCCACTTCTCGCTCAGAGCCTTTGAGGAAGTTGCCAAGAAAGATCTGCTGTGATTTGGATTATGTTCCGTTCAGGTTAGAACAGCCTTGAAAGGTTAGTGTTGGAGTCAGATGTGAGGGATTTGTTCTGTCCAGAAAACCTGGATATCTGGTTTGTGAAACTGAACTGGTTTAGGAATTGGAAAAGAGCTATCCTGAGTGCATGGTTTACTCGGCTAGAAAAAAACAAATGTGTGAGGGACCAAAACTATATCTGCAGTTTTTCTACCACCCTAGTGAATAGTGGGTGTGCAGTAGATATTTGAGTGAATTAAGTAATGAGAGAGAAAAAATACTAAAAATCTGAATCTTTTCCTTCAATTCTGTAAATGCCATTTTTTGCTTGCAGTGCTAGGTGTTGAAGGGGCAGTAAACTAGAAGTCTGGAGACTGTCTTTAGTTCTGGTACAAGTCGCTGCATGTTTCTGAGCTTTGATTTCCTCCTTTGAAAAATGAAACATTGGACAGCAACTCCCTAAACTGTGCTTGCCCTTTCTGTCAGGTAGCTTCCCCATTCTTTTCATTACTTAGCAGTGTTTTTAGGGAAGGCCTGACCTTTGAACCTACTTCCTGCTAGCAGAGCTGTCAAAGCGGAGGACAGCTTGAAGACTGTCCAGCTGGATCTGGGCTACCTAGGAGTCCACACATCCCTTGTGAGCCTGAGGAGGCTATGAACCCACTGAAACTGGGCACTAAAATAATATGTATGTACATGTATGCTTGCATGTACTGCATTAGAATGCCTGTGAATTTTTCTACAGAAGATACTTAGCTTTTGGAGTTTTTCAGAGGCTGTAATAACTGAAGGCTATCTGGATGGTCTGGGCCTTAGTGGTCTGCATGTGCAATGGGATCCCAGAGGTGGAGACTGGGGTCTTGTCTCCGCTCTCTTGGTTTTCCAATGACGTCTCATTTCTGATCCCATTAACCCCTCAATGGGAATGTGATGCCGTGATTTTCCCTGATTTTTGCATTCTGGCACTCCCACCCTATTCATCAAATGTTTCTGCTAATGAAAGCCTTTTTCTTCTTTTCCCCCTTCTCCTTGATGACTGGTTGCCCTGGGGACTCTGGCAGTTGGCCGTGTTTACATCAGGTAAGGTGCATTCCATTTTTCTCTGTCTTTCATCAGCTATGGTTGCACAAGATAGCCCTAGTCTCAGGAGACTCCTGTCAGAGGCTGCAATCTCCCCTGTTTCTGGACTCATTTGCTTGCTTACCCCCCAACCCTTTTATACACGTACCTGCTAACAGACACTTAATGAAATAAGGGGTCATTAGTATCTAAGATTATCCTAACTCTGCCACCTTGGTAGGCCACCACCACACTGGGTCTCAATTCTTCATTTTAAGTCAGGTCCAATTTGATAAAATATTAGGTCCTTTTTATTTTTGAGAAATACCTCCTCTCATATCAACCATCCTCCTATTAAAGTTTTTGAAAATGATGATGGGGACAGCTTTTGTGAGGAAGAATAGTCTGTTTTCCCAGCTTTATTTATTTATTTATTTATTTATTTATTTTTTGGTTTTTCTCCGGTACCAGGAACCGAACTCACGACCTTGCGCTTGCCAGGCAGACGCTTTGCCGCGGAGCTAAATCCCCGGCCCCCTGTTTTCCCAGCTTTAGCTTATTATGAAAGCCAGGTACATTTACAAGACCTAAACACCTACATGGTGAGATGGAACTGGGCCTGGTAGTCACAGTTACGTATAAATTATCACTACTGCCCTGCCTCTTTCCATGGTTGTCTGCAGTAGAGTACCACAGTCACAGGTGGCCATACTGAGGTGGTTTGGGAATGTGAGGGGAAGACAAGTTTCAGATATGTAAAGCCTCAGAATCTGGATGGGAGAAAGAAGGGGGAGATAGGGCTGAGAAGTCTGACCCTAGTGGTACCCAGTAGAACATGTTGGTTGTGAGTTTATTAGGGAAAACATATAATGTAGGTTTTGGAGATAGTGACAGTCAAATGAAGAAAGTAGGATATTAATCATTAAGTGGCGTTGTCTCTGGAGCCCTGGAGCCCTAGAGCCCTAGAGTCACATTTATATAATAAACCTCATGTCATTGGGTCTAAAGGTGCAAATTATGTTCTAAAATGTTGAGGGCTTGGGGATACAGCCCAGTGGTACAGTACATAAAGACCCTGAGTTTTCTCTCTAGCACCAAAAATAAAAGTTGAGAAAATATACATAAGAAATTATCTACTATCTATAAAGACAATATAGGTATAGCATGTTTTAACATTTTTGTTTGTTTTTTGAGACAAGGTATTGCTTTATAGTTCAGGCTGGCCTCTAACTTACGGTGATTCTCCTGTCTCAGCCTCTGGAATGTTTGTTTTTAAGAAAGCTAAGTGTAGTGGTGCATACCTTTTAATCCTAATGCTTGGGAGGCTGAGGCAGGGAATCTCAAATTTGAGGCCAACCTAGGATACATAGCAAGTACAAGCCTACCCTGGACAATATAGGGGAATGGTAGCAAACTTAAGGCACATGCGCTGCAGCAGGCTACTTATATCATTGAAAGCTCTCAAAGGTTCGCCATCTCTGACATAGGGTGATCCTGTCTCAAAAAACCAAAGAAGTTAAACAAAATGTGTTTTGTTTTTTTTTTTTTACAAAACGTTTTTAATGTATCCAATGAAAAGGTCTGGGAACCCAAAACAGGATTTTAGCATTTTTGGTACTGAAAGAAATAGGTGAATGCAGAAATCAGTGAGAGTTTGTGAAAACACATAATCAAATTTATATAATGATCTTTAAAAATTCTCCCCTTTTTGATTTTTTTTTTTGTTGTTGTTGTTTTTTGAGACAGGGTCTCACAATGTAGTTCAGACTGGCCTTGAGCTCAATACCTAGCCTAGGCTGGCCTGTGGTAATCCTGCCTCAACCTCCCAAGTATTGGGATTATAGCCATGTGCCACCACCCCAGCTAAAAGTTCTCCCTTAATACATAGTAAATCACAAGCAGATGGTCAACTTATGCCCAGATGCTGATTTCTGGGGTACACAGTTCTTGAGGAAATGCTATAAAAATCTGAAATCATAGAAAGAAAAATAGTGTTTACATATGGATACAACTATTTGATCCTTTGGGAAAGGTGGAGGGTTGTTTGTTTTTGTGGTACTGGGGATTGAACTCCAAGCTTTTGGACTAAGGTATATCCCTAGCCCTTTTAATTTTTTATTTTGAGACAAGATCTAACTAAATTGCCCAGGCTGGCTGGGTATGGTGGCGCACGCCTGTAATCCCAGCACTAGGGAGGCTGAGGCAGGAGGACTGTTGCAAGTTCGAGACCAACCTGGGCTACAAAGTGAGCTCAAGACTAGCCTGAACGGCATAGTGAGACCTGTCTCAAAAAGACAAAAGAAAATTAAAAATTAAAAATAAAAATAAATAAGTAAATAAATAAATTGCCCAGGCTGGGCTCAAATTTTCCATCCTCCTGCCTCAGCCTCTCAGCGAGTTGGAACTAAAGCCATGTGTCACAATGCCATGTAAAGGTGGAGATTTAAACTTTGTCATACTTATATCAGTAGCCTCACGAACCTAAGATTAGACCCTTGGGCAGCTTCAGGCTTAAGCTCCTTCCTGCGGTAAGGTTGGTGGCCCCTAATGAAACAAAACATGAAGAAGCCTGTTTTAAGAGCCAGGCATGGTGGTGCACATCTGTAATTTTAGCACTCTAGAGGCTGAGGCAGGACGATTACTGAGAGTTCAAGGCCAGCCTGAATTACAGAGTGAGACTCTCTCAAAAAAAAAAAAAAAGAAAAGAAAAGAAAACAGTTTAAATATGACAGTATTGGGCTGGGGATGTGGCTCAGTGGTAGAGCTCTTGGCTTGCATGCACAAGGCTCTGGGTTTGATATTCAGCACCACACACAAAAAAAGCAAAAGCCAGAAATTGCTACACAATGGTACAAGAAAATAAAAACAATTAAATATGATAGTATTTAAAGCCAATTTTGATTTCACCACTAGTAAATATGTGTTGAGTGCTAGGAGCAGGAATTGGAATCAGGTTTCTTGAGGTGCTCCCTGCTTGTGCTGGTGTTTGGAGGTTTCTGTCCCATATTCTTCTGCTATTACTCTGGTGGATCCCTGGCCATTTCTCTGTTTTTCTTTCCTGCTTGTAGTGGTTGGAGACCAGACCTAACAGACAGGTGTGTCCAGTTTGCAAAGCCGGCATTAGCCGAGACAAGGTGATCCCACTGTACGGCAGAGGCAGCACTGGGCAGCAGGACCCCAGGTGAGGACTTGCATATCATACCCACTTTTCCCCTTGGATATGAATTCACTTCCTTTCATCACTCCCTGATCCCACCTTTCACTTGGTGCTTGTTGATTACTCGGTTCTAAAGCAGTCTTACCCAAGTGGGAGTCAACTGGGAAAGGCAGGTAGGAAGAGGAGGGAATCCCAAGTTGCCACTTGCTGGGCTATAACAGAGTATCCATTGTGTGTCGTCTTCCAGCAGATAGGCTGTGTGCTTGTCCTCGAGAACCAGCAGTACACAAGACATCATAATCACAAGTGTGCGAAGTGCTGTGAAAGAGCACTTTTTTACAGCCTGGGGAGCAGGCTGTGTAGCAGGAGCGTCTCCAAGGAGTGAGGCTGCTCCAACAGTAATGTATAAAGTATGGGTGAACAGGGAATAAGGAGACTGGGTGGCTTTGTGGACTGAGTGGCTTTGAAATTTCTAGAAAGGAAGATGTTGGTAGGTCTAGCATTTTACAGGTACATATACTGAGAGCTGTTCATAGTCTGGCACCCACAACTTCTCCAAAGATACGTCTTCCCTTCTCCCACCCCACCCCACACGCCCTGTACCTGAGATAGAATGGACTTTCATGCTGGGCATGGTGGTACATGCCTATAATCCCAGCACTCAGGAGGCTGAGGCTGGAGGATCACTTCAACTTCAGAGCCACCCTGAGCCACATAGCGAGTTCAAAGCTACTCTGAACTATGTAGCAAGACCTTGTTTCTAAAAAAAAAAAAAGTGAACTTTTATTAAATGAACTTGCCCTCTTACTTTATCGGCCTTTGTATTTGGTCTCTGCCTCTTCTCCCCTCCCTAGTCCTCTGAAATCACCATCTACTGCCTATCTCCTCCTAATTTAAATCCATCTTCCATGAGCAGCCGTAAAGTCACCACCATTTTGTTAATCTTTTCCACACTGCTTTGTGACTGTTCATATGCCTGCTTGAAATCATTACCTCAAGAGTGGGGTCTGTCACCGATCTCACCATTGGTAGCGTCCTGCCTAGCGCACGATTTGTAATAATCCCTCAGCCTCACATTTGTGGGATGAATTGATTAGAGGGGAAGAGACCCAGGGTAAAAAGAGTAGCTTGGAGTAGTTGTCCAAGAGTAATGAGAGGTAAAGCTAAAGTTAATAGGGACAGATCAAAAGGCACCCTGATTTCAACCCCCTCAGCTGGCAATCCATCCCGTTTCAGTTTAGACTTGAGATTTCTGACATCCATAAGCCCAATATCATACAGCACAGGGAGAGCAACGGGCCATCGTTTATAACCAGTCTGGGCCAGTGTTGCTGTGTGGAGTAGGCTGTAATACAACCTGATGAACATCTCTCATGACAAGCTGATATTTCTCTCTGGTCCTCTATACAGTGGGAGGAAAGCAACTGCAGGTAGGATGAAGAGTTAGTATTTGGTTTAATTCAGCCTGAGTTCATATACTGGGCAGGAAAAGGGGCCCTGACCCTCTTAGTAACAAGTACCCAGTTTTCACAGGAGCAACTCAAGACATTTTGCAATGGACTGACTACACCATGTCTTTTCAGGGAGAAGACCCCTCCTCGTCCTCAAGGCCAGAGACCAGAACCAGAAAATAGAGGGGTGAGAAACATTCTAGGAGAAGCTTCTAGAAATTAGTCTATGGCATTAGAAGTTTTCCTGTAATCCTATCATTTTTCTCTTTTTTTTTATTAATTAAGTTTGTTGGTACATTTTAGGTATACTTAGTGATCACATTCATCATAGGGAATTTGTACCCATTTTTCTCATTGATTATAGAAATAGAGAAATACTTGCAAAATACAGAAAGGAAAAATTGGCAGAATGGAATCATTTATACCCACACTTTTCAGAGATTACCACTGGAAGCATTTTGATCTATTTTCTCTTCCATTTTTCTGGGGTTTTTTCTTTTTTCTTTCTTTTTACTTTACAAAATAAAAAGAATTATCTGGCTTATGCCTATATTTTTATATCTTACAGATATACTGACTTTATTGATTTATTTATGTGTTTATTGACATGTGGTTACATTTTTTTTCTTTAATATGTGCCTATTTTGTAACTCTTAAAATTTCACTTATTCTACAAATAGTAAGCATCATATTCTAGGCAGTGGTGATTTACCAGTGAACAAAGTAAAAATTCTTGCCTCTTAGAGTTTATACGTTTGAAGAGAGTTTCAACACAGTTTGAGATTTTATTGAAGATCTTTTGTCAATAATATTTTATTTAATGGCTGTTTAGTGTTCAGTTGTATAGCCTCACATAATTTATTTAATTTATTTAATTCTCTGGTAGACATTTAACTATTTCCTTTCTCTTTTTTTTTTTTCTTTTTTTGTCTTTTTGAGACAGGGTTTCACTATGTAGTTCAAGCTGGCCTAGAGTGCGCAGTGACCCTCCTGCCTCCAGGGTGCTGGGATGATACGAATGTATCACCACACCCATCCTTTTGTATTTGTTTTATTTTTTGAGACAGGGTCTCTATATGTGTTCCAGGCTGGCCTTGCACTTGCTGTGTAGCCCAGGCTGTTCTCAAATTCAGATGCTCCTCTGCTTCAGCCTCCTAAGAACAGGGATTACAGGCGAGGGTTTTTTGTATTTTAAAAGTACCTTGATGAGCTTAAAAGTTTTGAGCAGATTCACCATTATTTTATGACAAATTCTCACAATTATTGGCTCAAAAATTTGTGTATTTAAATTGGATATTAATCTTTAAAAACCAATTTCTTTTTTTTTCTTTTTTTTTCTTTTTTGGTACCAGAATCAAACTCAGGACCTTGTGCTTGCCAGGCAGGCACTTGTGCCACTAAGCTATATCCCTGGCCCAAAAAGCAGTTTCTTACAAAAGAAAAAACAAAAAACAATTTTTTAGTTGGGTGTGGTAATTCACACACATGCATGCACGCATGCCTGAAATCCTAATGCTTGGGAAGCTGAGGCAGAAGGATTGTAAGTTAGAGACCCGCCTGAACTACCATATCAAGACTTTGTCTCAAAACAAATCAAACAGTGCTTAACCTGGCATGGTGGTGCACAACTGTAATTCAGCATTCTGGGAGCCTTGGGGCATCACAAATTTGAGCCCAACCTGGGTCATAGCCACTTAACAAGATCTGTCTCAAAATTTTAAAAAAAGGCAAGGGATGTAGCTCAGTGCAAAGGGCTTGGGGTTTAAATCACAGTACCACATGCACACCTGTAATCCCAGCACTCAAGGCTGAGGCAGGAGGATCGTGATGAGTTCAAGGCCAGCCTGAATTGCATAGTGAAACCCTGTCTCAAAAAGACCTAAAGAAGAAAAAAAGCCACACACATAAAAAAAGTAAATTCAAGACAAGCCAGGAATACATTGCAAGGCCCTATCTCAAAGAGGAAAATACCACAGTAATTTCCTGTTAAAATATTGAAGAAATTTTAAAATATCTACCCAAACTGCTAGAATCCCAGAACAGTTATTATTTCTCTTTGTTCTGTTCATCTCCATGTCATATGTTTGTTTTTAGTTTTGGGGGGTTTATGTTTTATTTTGGTGATACCAAAGTTTGAAAGCAAGGCATTTGCACTGAATTATATCCCCAGCCTCTTTTTTATTTTTTATTTTAAGACAGGGTCTTGCTTAATTTTATGGGAAGTTGTTGGGTTGGACTTGAACTTGTGATCATCTTGCCTCAGCCTTCCAAAGTACCTGGATTACAGGCTGTATATGCGTGTTTTTACATTGCCATAACCATCCTATTTGTTGCTTTCAAATTTAATTTTAGCAGTATTTTCCATAATATTCTGAAATGTCCCTTTTATTATTTTAAAAGGCTGCCATTTATTCCATTGAAATTGGATGCATTATAATTTAGATTTTCCTCATTGAAGGACTTTTTTTTAAATAGGGTCCTGCTATGTAGTTCAGGCTGGTCTTAAACTTGCTATATAAGCTGAGCGTGCATGCCTGTAATCCCAGCATTTAGGAGGCTGAGGCAGGAGGATTGCAAGTTCGAGATCAGCCTAGGCTACAAAGAGAGCTGAAGGCCAGCCCAAACTGCATAGCAAGACCCTGTCTCAAAAAGACAAAAAAAGAAGAAAAAACAACTCACTATATAGTCCAAGGTGAGCTTTGCACAGGGGCAGTGTCATAGCCAATGAGGTTTATTTGAGGCACAATTATTGCAAATTGAAACTGTAATAGTCCAGGCTATCCTTCTGCCTCAACCTCCTGATTATTGGGATTACAGGTGTGACCCACCACACCCATATGAAGGGTGTTAGTTGCCTTCATATTTTGCTGTTTAAATAATACTATAGTTGGAGCTGGGGATTTAGCTCAGCGGCACAGCGCCTGCCTGGCCAGCGCAAGGTTGTGAGTTTGATTCCCGGTCCTGGATAAATAATACTATAGTGACAGTCTTTGCATACATTTTTTTATTTGAATTATGCTACTTCCTTAGAATTCCCAGCAATAGGATTATTAAATCAGGGATCTTGATAGAAATTGAGGGCCTCTTCTCCAAATTGCCCTTAATAATATTAGTGTTGGACACTTGTTTAATGGTTATTATATGTAAAGAACTCTTTTAAGAGCCTTATATGCATCTTATTTAAGCCTCACATTAACTCATTTAACAGAAAAGGAAACTAAACCCCAGATAGGGGAGGTGTACAGTTTCCATACACGGTGCTGAAATCTAGATCTGGCTAACATTGATGTCTTTGCTCTTGACCACCAAGCAACAATACTTGAACTTATCCAGTGCTGGTTTGGCTTAGCGCACTACCAGCTTACAGCAGTCGGTGGCCCCAGGAAGCCAAAAGCCCTGGTCTTAATGCCTATGGGGCTCACGTCTAGTTTTCATAAGGCCCTGCAGCCAGTGGTGGTGCTTTTTGCATACTCTGCTCCAGAAACATAAATCCACCAAATGTGAGGACCTGCGGGATTCTGTTGATGTTGCTAGAAAGGAAGCAGGAAGGTCAGTCTTAGGATGGAACTGAATGAAACTCTAGGTCCTGATGAAACAATTGCATCTTCCCCAATCAGGGAGCGTCAGTCCCAAGAGCCCTCAGACTCAACCATGCTGGATCTGAGTGGGAGTCATTTCTGCACCAAGGACGTGAGACTGTTTTTCTTCCCATAGGTTTCCCTTCTTACTAAATTGTCTATTAAGCTTCATAAGTGGTGTGCCCAGCAAGAAGTTTGGAGCCAGATGCTAGGCTGCTCAGTGTGGGACAGGGAGTGGGCACTTATTAAAGATTCATCAATGTCAGCTCTTTGTGGAGAGCAGTTGACTGAATATTTTTTCTTGTTTTTATTATTTCTTTTGTTATTTGCTCCAAAGATCTTATCAGGGGTACAGAGGAAGAGAAAAAAAATTTGTAAGATGTGCATAGCAATAAAAGCATGGAGCCAGATGTGGTGGCACATACCTGTAATTCTAGCACTCTGGAGGCTGAGGAAGGAGGATTGCAAGTTCAGGGCCAGCCTGGGCCACAAAATGAGACATTGTCTCAAAAAACAAAAAGAGCATGAGTTTCCAGATCAGATTGACCTGCTTATTTATTTTTCAATAGTACTGGGGATAGTAGATGCAGGGCCTTCACACTAAGCTACGTCCCTTCCCCTTTTTAAAAAAAACTTTCCCCTGAGACAGGATCTTGCTAAATAGCTGAGTTGTCCAGTCTGACCTTGAACTTGCAGTCCTTCTGCCTCAGCTCCCCAAAGTACTGAGATTACAGCATGTGCCACTTGCTGCTTGATCTGGTTTTAGTTTGAAACATTACACCTTGTTCAAGTTATTTCACCCCTCCAATTTTGAGTGGTAATGTATAATATATAGATGATAGTAATGCAAGAATTAAACATGGTCTCCTTAGCCAAGTGTTTAGCACTATGCCTAACCCCAGAATTTGCACTTAGTAAAAAGGCAATTACTTATTTATAATATTGTTGTTCTTACTGATTCTTTTTATGTGAAAAATGATGTGGTGAAACATGAGCAAGAAAAAAACTAAGGATGAGCCAGGCATGGTAGTGCATGCCTATAATCTCAGCACTTGGGAGGCTGAGGCAGGAGGATCCCTGTGAGTTTGAGGCCAGCCTGGACTACAAAGTGAGTCCAAGGCCAGGCTGAACTGCACAGTGAGACCCGTTCTCAAAAAGACAAAAAAAAAAAAAGAAAGAAAGAAAGAAAAACCCTGAGGATGATACACTGAACTGCTGACTGTGATTGTTTGGGAGTTCTGGCTGTGAGATCAAGAGGGTGAATAGGGAAACTTCTGGCTTTATTTCTTGGTTATTCTTATAATATGTGAATTTCTTGTAAGAGGCATATGCTATTTTTGTAATAAAAAATTATAGTGTTTTATATTTTTTAAACTATGTAACAAAGCTGGGTGTGGTGGTGAATGCCTGTAATCCCAGCACTCAAGAGGCTGAGGCAGGGACCAGGGATATAGCTCAGTGGCACTGTGCCTGCCTGACAAGCGTGAGGTTGTGAGTTCAATTCCTGGTACCAAAAAAAAAACAAGAGGCTGAGGCAGAAGGATTACAATTAGTTTGAGACCTGCCTAGGCTACATAGTGAGTTCAAAGCTAGCCTGAACAACATACCAAGACCTTGCCTCAAAAAAATAAAATAAAATTCTGTGTAACAACAGTGAAAAAGATAGTTCAAAAATGTTTATCCATGTCTTGTCCCCAGACTTGGGTTTTTTGTTTATTTTGGTTTGCTTTTGATTATTTGTTTGGGTTTGTTTTTGTTTTTGTTTTTTAGGGTTCTAGAAATCGAACTTAGGACCTTGTGATTGCCAGGCAGGCGCTGTGCCACTGAGTTATATCCCTGGCTTATTTGGGTTTTTTTTAGGGGTGTTGTGTGGTTGGCTGGTTGGTTGGTTGTGTGTTTTTTTTTTTAAGATAGAGTCCTGCTGTGTAGTTCAGGCTGGCCTCAGGCTTGCAGCAGTCCTCCTACCTTAGCCTCAATAATGGGATTTTAGATGGGTGCCACCACATCTGGCTGCAGTTGTCATAGACTTGTGACGAGGGTGTTTAAATGGTTTTGTCTGGTAGCCTGATCACAAGAGTTTCTCTGTTTTATTATATTAAGTCAGCATGATGGTCTTTGGAGAGCGTGTTATCAAGATTATGATCATGACTTCCATTGTTGGCCAGTTAGAGTTCCACCTTTTTTGCTATTGTGGATAATGTGTAATTTATTTTGATACTCTGTTGTAATTAGGCATGGGAGTCATTGCTAGTTGTATGTTATAAAAGCAGCTAGGAAATTTTACTGACTAATGTGAGAATAAAACCTCAAGCCTTAAAACCCTGACTTTCATTAGCAGTATTTCACTGGTGGTCAGTGGTGGTCCTCTTTTTCCTCTATTCACAGCTCCTTAACTCTGAGCTAAGGCTAGAAGGGCAGAGGGTCCATTAGAGGTTCTCTGCTCTGGGGCCTAGATGGGAGGAAAAGCTGACCTCTAGACCTTGGAAACAGGTGGGAAAGGATAGGAAGGAGAGGTGGGTACCATATATGACACGTGAGATGTATCATGTTAAATTGGGCGTGCTGACACACCTGTAATCTTAGTTACTTAGTGGCCTGAGGCAGGAGGATCACAAATTTGAGCCCAGTATGGTCTACTTAGGAAGACCCTGTGTTTAAAAGGGCTGAGGGTGTAGCCCAGTGGTGCAGTGCACACACACAAAAAGTGTCAGGTTTGACAGGTGTAGGGAAAACTTGCTTATTTTTTCTCTAATTTGCATTTCTTTTACACAGGGATTTCAAGGATTTGGATTTGGAGATGGTGGCTTCCAGATGTCTTTTGGAATTGGGGCATTTCCCTTTGGCATATTTGCCACAGCGTTTAACATAAATGATGGGCGGCCTCCTCCAGGTAAGCCCTGTTTCCTTGAGAAATCAAGAAGATTTCAAGTTATAGATAATTGTTATTACATGGATAATCGACCTTTTCAAAATACCTTTCGTTTGTTTGTATTTTTTGAAACAGGGTCTTGCTATGCAGTTCAGGCTGGCCTTAAACTCACTATATAGCCTGGGCTGGCCTTCAGTTCCTGCCTCAGCCTCCCTGTGAGGATTACAGGCATGTGCCACCATGCCTGGCTAAAATGGCTTAAACTCTTCTCAGATTACTGGTACTCCTGCCGATGATAATTGAGCGCTTATAAAGTCTTAGGCATGTGTTGCATGTTTTCCATTCCACACTAAAGGACTCATCGCAGCCACCCTGTAGATACATGTGCATTTGGCTGTTTTACAGATTAGAAAATGTTTGGTAATTTATCAGAGTGTTCTGTATCCATTTAAAAAAAAAAAAACTATAAATGATACTGTCTGAGGAAAAACCTAGTTCTGTGCCTATGCATAGAACCCCCCAGTTTGACTATTTGGGGGTAGGGAGTGGGGAGGTGACCCACAAAGAGGCAGGGTCTCTCCATTCTCTGGGATCTGTTGAGCTTGCATTAGGACACAACATGAGTTGATCAAGCCTCAATTGCTTGGGAACCATGCTTATATCTGCCACCTGTGGCTGCATTGCTCTCTCCAGCTGTTCGACAATGCCAGCTACATTCAGAGTAGAGCAGGGTAACAAGGTGTGTGCCCTGAACTCTTACCGCTCTCTCACCCCTGTGCCAAAGTCTGTATTACAGAGCCTGTGGAGATGCCCTGGTTAGTTCAACTCTGCTTGCACTCATTGGAGCCTCGTGTGCACTGGGATTGGTGCAGGTTACGGAAGTGACCAGGGTGTGAGTCTGGTCAGAAGCTTATGCTGTAGAGATAGTAATCTGCTTAGAGGTCATCTCATTTGTTCTATGCCCCACCCTGGCTCTTGGCATGTCATAGGCAATTATTACATGATTGCCTTCCTGCGTGAATTCGTCAGAGGACCCAGCAGGGACTGCAGTATAGCACCAAGAGATATTGGGAGCACCCTCCCTCACCCGCACATAATTCACCTGAAAAATTTCTCCTATGTTCAGATGTTGCTTTCTCAGAGGAGACTGCAAAAGGCAGGATGCACTCCACCCTAAAGGAAGGACAGATCCGTGCAGAGGTAACAGGAACCTCTCTGGTGGCTTGCTTCCTTTTAGCCAGGTCCCCATCTAGCCTGGATTTCCCATTTAGTCCCATAGCCAAGCTAGACTCTGGGTCTTGCATTTTTTCCCCTACACATAGTTTTCCTTTGTAGTGTTTGGTACAGTACATCCTGGATGTAGATTCTCTTATCCTCTTTCCCTCAAACTCAGGACAGGGAGCTGTAAATGGTAACTCTTCTCAGTGCGGAGACTAGTGGAGACTATGTTCTACCTCTTCCTTGCTGTAAGATGTCTGGGCCCTCATTTTCTTCTGGAAGGAGAAAGGAAGGCATGAGGCCCTCTGCATCTCTGTCACTGCCTCAGGAACCTGGGCACCTCAGCAGATCACATACATACTGCTGCATACTCAGAATTAGAATAGTATCTACCAATTAGTAATGTATACAAAACAGCACAGAGAAGATACGTAACCAACAATACCTTTTATTTTACTTCCTACTAATCAGCTGATCTCTGCATATGCCGGGCAAGTCCTTTCAGGATAAATTTGAGGCCTTTTCCTTGTTGTTACACAGTTCCACATATTTTTGTTTTGCCTCTGTTATTTGAGTTTTGGAAATCTTTTTAGTGTACACATTTAAAAATGAAGATTGATACTCACAACTTCTCTTCACAGCTGCAGCCTTCTGACATTTTCTCCCTCCTGTCTCTTCAGCTGTCCCTGGGACACCGCAGTATGCAGATGAGCAGTTCCTGTCACGCCTCTTCCTGTTTGTGGCACTCGTGATCATGTTCTGGCTCCTCATTGCCTAATGCTGGGCTTCTGCCTGCATCTACAGTAGGGTCTCTGGACTGGTGATGTGCAACCCTCAAGCCTGGTATTTGGCTTCTTGGCTAATTCTGACCATAGGAGTCAGTGGGGTCAATAACACTTCAAGGAGTCTAGCTTCTCCATCAGAGTTTTGAAACTCAGCAACCAGTTGGAGAGGAGCCCCGAGTATCGCCACTACTGTAAACGCCCTCTGAAACCTCAGGCTCTGGTGTTGACAGCATGAAATCCTGTTCCAGCCAATTCAGCAGGTCCTGACTATACATGAAGAGGTGGGAAGAAATTTTACCTGAGTTTCATATCACAAAAAACAAAGGAACCAAATGGTATTTATGGAAACTTACTTTGATCTCTTTAAATACCCCTTGGTAACTGGCCTCTGTAGCCATTGGGGGCTCCTCATATAGAGAGGTTCCCCTCCCAAATCCTCTGTCTTCTCTGTCACATTGTTCCACATATTTTTGTTTTGCCTCCTATTACTTGTGTTTTGGGAAGCTTTTTAGTGTAGAGGATTCTGTTGTAAAGAAATGAAGTGCTGTTCTGTCCTCTTTCCTCCTCCTCTTCCTCCTCTTAGCAGAGACCCAAAATGTTGCTGTCCCAGGAAGATCATAATTACAGCAGCTGAAGCCACTTCATGAGTTCACCAGAGACCCAAAGATCATTGATTGGCTCTGGGCCTTGCTCATTGTTTTTGGCCCCAGAGAGCAGCATAAATGACCTCCTGGTTTCATGGTATAGATTGTCCTTGGTAAGACATACGACTTCACCCACAGATTTTCTGTCACCTTTCCCCCTCAGAACTATGTCTGTCTGCCTACTCTATCAGAGGGCAACCAGCATAGACTACTACTGAAGCTGAGACTGCCTGTTGTGCATTAGGAATGACCTGGAGTTGGGCCCTCAATGGGATTCAGAGCTCTGGTGCAGGCAGAGCTGAACAAGTAGCCCTGTCCCCTATGCTGCAGAAACTGAGTGCGCCCTTGCCCAGAGGAAGCTGGAGGCTTTGTCAGATCAGCCCAGCTGCATGTGGAAAACCACCATCCTGAGAAGCCAAGTTGTCCCTTATGAAGAAGCAGCAAAGGGGGTGACTCACCTGTGACCCTGCCTTTTGGTTCCCCAAAAACTTGTATGTGTGCTAAAACATAGAAGTGTGTGACACCTGAACAGGCAACCCCTGATAGTTTGTGAAGCCAGACAGCAGGCCTGGGGGACCTCAGTACAATGATACAGTGTCATCTTCCTACCTGTGGAATTCAGGGGAAGTTATTTTTTCCAAGCCCTTGATTTCTTTTTCCATTTTATAAGCTTCATCCTGATTGCAAGAGAGTAGTGCCAGGCAGGTAGACACTGTACTTGGTAGGACAGTTCTTGCTCAGCCTGCCAGGCTTCATCCTAGATGCCCGGCTTCTTGGAGACCTCCATGGTGAAGTGAGATGGACTTCTGCTGGAGACCTCTTGCACACTTTGCCAATCCACACCGTTCCTGGCTCATCCCCAGCAATACCCAACAAATAGAAAGCCCCAGCTAAAGGTTCCCACCCCTTTTCCTTTGTACCTGCTACTACCAGAGTTCAGTATTTAAAAAATATGTAAAGTATTGAATAGGTGGTTGGTTTGCTGGATCCAGTTGGTAGGAATAAGCCACCAGCTGTATAGTGTGCCTGATGGATTTTAAACATTCTTGGGCACCCCTCTTTTTAATCAACTTCTGGACCCACAGTCACAGTGAATTATCTCTGCTCTGATGTTAACTCCACAGCTAGTGGAAGGAGAGTTAACTTCAGCCAGTTGAGCCCAGGAGAAAGATTAAAGAAGAGTGGTGGGTAGAAAGATAAATCATTTCAAATATTTAATGAAATGGAGCCCAGGAGCCCCACCAGCAAAAGCATCCCAGGAACTTGTTAACAGAGCCAGATTGGCCATATTCCCTAATTGTGAATTTTATAGATCCCCCCCTTACTCTCTTTCACCCTCTGGGGCAGGAGAGCCAACTTGGGACTGCTGGCCCAGCCCTAGTGGAGTCCCCTTCCCGCTGCTCTTCTGCAGGCTCCTTACTCCTCTGCCAAGGCTGCTCACCTTTCTTCTGTGTTTTCTCTGCCTCCACCCTTTTACTCCCCTTGTGGACTAGGACCAGGTCCTGACCACAGTCAGAAAATGGCAATATGTACAGCAGCACACCTTGAACAGTCACTAATTTTCACTGTTGTGAAAGTGTTTTGATTTAGAATTAAATAAATGGTTTTCCATTACTGTGAGTTTGGAGTTTGTGTCTGTATCATGGGAGTGAACAGGTTGGGAGTGGTCACACCGGTGGTCTGGCCCCTAGGAAGCACCTGTGTGGCCTTAGTAATGTGCTTCGTAAGTGAGAATGAAAGTCTTCAAACAACCATTGATAATTAAAGATGAGAAGTGTGGGCTAGAGGCCTGGCTTCATATACCGCCCTACCCAAGTTGTAACCTGTCTGACAGGCAGCCCTAGTCCTAACAAGTACATGGAATTCCTAAGCTTGCAAGCAGCATAATGCCATGATAGAGCACAGCTTGTGCCCTGTAGGGCCTTTAGTACAATCACAGGTTAGTCAGTGTCAGATGTCTCCATACACAGTGACAAGGGAGGTAGGCCCTCAGCCAATCCTCTCCCTGGAGCAGAGGGTGTACCCTTCCTTGAGGTTCCTCAGTAACAAGGTGTGGTGTGAGATGGAAAATGTTGATGTGGTTATGAATCTGGCCCAGCCTCAGGCTTTCAAATACTTGAAAGCTACAGGTTATTCTCTAAAAAGAGTGTATTTCTTCCTCTTAGACTTCGACCTCACTGTCAATGAATTCAGAGTGCCAAGATACAGTAGGAAAGACAAAGGAAAGGAATTTTAGGAACTTGTGTAAGACTAGTAAGAAAAGAACAGGATTTTTTAAATTTGTTTTCAGTGGAAAATAAAAATACACAGTAGTAGAATAGAAGCTTCCATGTACCAGTTACTCAACCCTTATAACCATCAATTCAGGTCTGGGCCTGTTGCCTCTACACCGCCTTGACTGTACTCCCTCAACCTTACCTGGACTCTCTGAAATAAATCCTAGTCATATGTTGTCTGTTAAGAATTTCAAGATTTTACAAATCTTAAGGATTTGTAAAAACTAAGGTACTGTAATAACTAAGATACTGTTTACTTTTTAAAATTAATAATAAGGTGGATGCAGTGGTACACTCCTGTAATCCTAGTACTCTGGAAGGCTGAGGCAAGAGGATCCCAAATCTCAGCCCATCCTGTACAACTTTAGTGAGACCAAAATTTTAAGGATTTGTGTGTCTCTGTTCATTAAAGAGATTGGCCTGTAGTTCTCCTTCTTAGTTGAGTCCTCTGGTTTTGGTATCAGGGTAATGCTTGCCTCCAGGAATGAATTTGAGAGTACTGCTTCCCTTTCAGTTTCTTTCCTTCTTTTTTTTTTTTTTTTTTTCTTGGTGGTACCGGGAATCGAACTCAGGAACTTGCGCTTGCCAGGCAGGCGCTTATACCACTGAGATATATCCTGAGCCCCCCCTTTCAGTTTTTTTAAAGAGTTTGAAAAGTAGAGGTGTTAGATCTTCTCTAAGTTTCTTGGTAGAATTCAGCAGTGAATCCATCAGGGCCTGGGCTTTTCTTTGTTGGTAGGCTTTTAATTACATCTTCAAGTTCATTGACCTGATACTGGTTTATTTAGAATTTTTGTATCTGCTTTATTCAGCTGTAGCAATTCATCTGTACATAGTAATCTGTTCATTTCTTCTGTTCCATCTTTTGAAAACCTAGGTACTCAAAATAGGTACTAATGATCTGGATTTCTGCAGGTTCTGTTGTGATTTCACCATTTTCATTGCTAATTGTATGGATTTGAGTCTTTTTTGATAAGGTTAACTAAGGGTTCATCAGTTTTATTTAATCTTTCAAAGAACCAACTCTTTCATTTATTATTTATATTTTTTTCTTAGTCTTCCATTGCATTAATTTCTGCTCTGATATTTATAATTTCGTCCCAATTATGAGCTTTGGGCTTGACTTGCTCTTCTTTTTCTGGAAGCTTGAGTTAACATTAGATTGTTTATTTGAGCTCACTCTGTTTTTATGATACGGGGATTCACAACTATAAATTTTCCTCATAGTGCTGATTTCATTGCATCCCATAAGTTCCAGTATGTTAATTTGACATTATTGTTTAATTGTAGAAACTGTCTAATTTCTTCTTGAATTTCATGTGTGACCCATTGGTTGGTCAGGAGGGTGTTATTTGATTTCAACGTGTTTATGAAGTTCTTAAGGTTTCTTTTGCCATTGATTTCCAGTTTTGTTGCATTATGATCTGATAAGATGCATGGGATAATTTCAATTTCTTTGCACTTACTTAAGCATGTTCTGTGAGCTAGTATGTGGTCTGTTTTGGAGAATGTTCCATGTGCAGCTGAGAAGAATGTATATTCTAACATTGTGGGATGGAACACTGTAGACATCTACTAAGTTCATTTGTTCAAAAGTTTGGTTCAGTTCTAATATTTCACTGTTGACTTGTCTAGTTGATCTATTTGTGACAGTGGGGAATTGAGGTCCCCTATTAATACTGTATTAGTACTTATTTGATTTTTCATGTCCATTAATATTTGTTTTCTATAGTTGGGTGCACTGGTATTTGGTGCATATATGTTTATGATTGTTATCTCTTCTTCTTGGAAGAGACCCTTTACAAGGATGTGGTAACCTTCCCTTAGTTAACTGATCAAAAAAGGAAGACTCAAATCCATTCAGTTAACAGTGAAGATGGTGAAATCACAACAGAACCTGCAGAAATTCAGATCATTAGTACCTGTTTTGAGAACCCATGTTTTCAAAAGATGGAACAGAAGAAATGAACAGATTACTATGTACAGATGAATTACTACAGCTGAATAAGGCAGATACAAAAATTCTAAATAAACCAGTATCAGGTCAATGAACTTGAAGATGTAATTAAAATCTGTCTCTCTTAATCATTCTTGGCTTAAAATCCACTTTGTCTGCGAGTAGCTACCACTGCTTTTTTCCAGGTTCCTGTCCCATGGAGTATTTTCCATTCTTTGACTTTCAGTCTGAATTTCTTTTTGAATTAATTGTGTTTCTTATATGCAGCATATTGTTGGATCTTACTTCTTGATCCATTCTACAAATCTGTTTCTTTTGATTGGTGAATTGAGACCATTAACATTGATGATTATAACTGATATGTATTGACTTATCCTTATGTTATTTTCCTGTTATTGGCTTTCTTTTTTCCCCCTCTGTTTAATGGCTAACATTGGCTGGTAGATTCATTCTGTTGGGGTTCATTCATTCTGGTAGATTCATTCTGTTGGAGTTGTAGTCCCTGTTACCTCTTTCCAGAATGTCCTTCAGGACATTTTAGAGTGTTGGTTTGGTGGTCATGAATTTCTTCAGGTGTTCTTTATCATGGAAGTATCTTATTTCTCCATCAGTTTTGAAAAATAGTTTTGCAGGGTATATCAATCTGGGTTGGAGATTGTTTACTTTTAAGGCTTGAAATATTTCCCGCCAAGCTCTCCTTGACTTGAGGGTTTGTGTTGAGAGGTCTCCTGTGATTCTGATGGGCTTCCCGTTATAGGTAATTTGTTTCTTTTCTCTAGCAGCTTTTAGTATTATATTCTTGTGTTGACTTTCTAGAATCTTGATCATTGTATGCCTTGGTGTATTTTTTTATCATGGCTAATTGGAGTTCTATATGCCTCTCGTACCTGTCAAATTCTTTTTTGTTTGGTGTTTGTTTTTGTGATGAGGTCTCACTGCGTAGTTCAGATTGGGCTTCAACTTGCTCTGTAGCCCAAGCTGGCCTTGAACTCACAGCAATTCTCCTGCCTCAGCCTCCTGAGTGCTAGGATTACAGCTGTGAACCACCATGCCATGCTCTGTATGTCAAATTCTTTTTCCCTGCCAGGGAAGTTTTCTGCCATTACTTTTGTGAACAAGTTTTGTTTGTTTGTTTGTTTGTTTTTTTAATGTCATTTGTGCTTCCTACTTTTTCTTCTTTTTTTCCTCCTACTTTTTCATTGACTCTGATTAATCTTATGTTATTGTTTGCAACATCTAGTACCTGTTGGGTTGATTTTTTGTGGTCCCTTGTTATTTTTAAGAAATCTTTCTTTTCATGATCACTAACCACAATACTGCCTTCCATATCTGATATTCTGTCCTCATATTAGCTCATTCTGCTGCACATACTTTCAGTGGCATTTTTAATCTCCTGGATATCTGAGCCTGTTCCATGAATTCCATTTGTTTCCTATGTTGGATGTTCATGATTTCCATCACTTTCCTAAGATCCTGTATTTTTTTTACATCCATGTCTGCCCTAAAGTCATTATGTCTTTCATTGTGGTCACCATCTCTGCACTTATTGGAGAAATTATTTCTGATTTAACTTTTTTGTACAGCTTTGTTCATGTGCTTTGTTACTTCCACTTTTCCCACTTCAGAGAGTCCAGGCAGTGGCTTCCAAATTGTTCCACCTCATTTGCACACTGGGTTTGCCTTTGATGAGCTGGAAGTCTGGGGTTGCATCTTAAGTGTCTTCTCATTTTCTTTCTTTCTT